CATATTCATCAGTTGGAGACTCCTCCTCTTCGGTTCCATAATCTTCTTGGTCCATGTTTCCGTACTTTTTGGCATCGCCATCTTCCTCATCCTCTTCTTCATGCTCGGAATCTTCTTCGAAGTCATATTCCAGTGTTTTTGTTAGTGCCTCCAGTTTATCGGCAGCCGCATCGGCTGCTGCAGTGTGCTTGGCACTTATATCGTTATCCCGGCGCTTACTTGTCAGACTGCTCCGCGCATTGCTGCTCGCAAGAGTGGATACACTGCCGCCAGCACCGCTGCGCAGGCGAGGATTGGGCTTGGGCTTAGACGGATTTATCATTTGGCTGAGACGGGACGGATTGCTTGAATTGTTGGCCAACGGCTTGGGCAGGGTGGTGGCCGGTGGCAGCGTCAATTTGGCGCGTGTTGGCTTGTCCTTATCCTGAGCATCCGGCACTTGGGCAAGGTTCTTCTCCTCATCGGCATCATCCTTCTCAAAGTCAAAATTTGAATCGGTCTCCAGAACGTCAGTCAGCGCATTAAATTCACTTTGGTTGTTCTTCTCAATGGCCTTGTCCAGCATTTCCAGTGACTTTTCCAGTTTCTCAATTTTGTCCGAATCCTCGACGGCAGTCAGCTTGGTGCGACGACCAGTGGCCAAGGGATTAGCCTTGTCAACCTGCAGTTGCGAGCATATAATAAAGTTAAATAAGTAGATGTTTATTTCGGACTAACTGTGAACTCCTCCAGCTTGCGATAGCCGCTAATTTCGAGCCTGGCCTTCTCCAGCTTCAGCATGACCTCCTTGCATTTCTTCTGTTCGTTGAGCAGCTGCTGACGGAAGTTCTTTGATTCCAGCTGCACCTTGCGTGACATTAGCTTCATATCGTTATCTTTCTCTTGCAGGCGCTGTTCCAATGAGCGCAGCTTATCCTGCAGCTTTTGGCGCTCGTCCAGGTTTCTGCAAAGCAACATATTAGTTCCAACGATTCTCTTTAGCTCAATAAACACTTACTTGTCCCTGATGAGCTGGCTAAAGTGTCTGTTCTGGTCGCTTAGCGTTAGAATCTGTGCCTCCTTTTGCTTGAGCTTCGCCTCCAGCTCCTTGTTGGCGGCTTGCACGTTGCGATGTTTGGTCTGCCAGACGCGCAGCTCCTCGGCATGCGAATGCAATAGCTGCGGCAGCTCTGCTCCGGTATTCTCATATTTGTTTAATGCCATCGACTGGCGCTTGTGCATGGTGCGCAGCATGCGATTCTCATGCGCCAAATTGGATATCTCTGCCTGGGCATCGGCCAGCTGGTTCTGAAAGGTTTTCGCGCGCAAATTGCGCGCCGACATTACGCGCTGATGTATTTCACTGGTGGGATTGTTGGGCACCATCGAGGGCTGACGGAGGCCATTGGCTGCCTTCAAGCCGCGCGCCGGCTGCTTGCGTTGATAGATCTGGCTGGCGGATTCGCGTGAGCTAGCCGAGTAAAGGCTTTCACAGCTTTTTGCCGGCAACCTGAGAGTTGCGAGTTGAGGTTGGGGTTGAGGCTCAATGGTGATGTGGTGCGGACCGCTTGGATACGGATACTTACGACATGGTGTTCTTATTCCACGCGAGATTCAGCACTAAAGGTCGATGCGGACTTGTGGCGATACCATCAAAGTGCACACACAGGGTGCAATTTATTTTATTTTGTTGCGCAGAAAAGTTGTATTTATTGTAACGTGCTTTCTTTTTATGTGTAAATATTGTTAATGCTGGATTCGAATGTCGGTATTGGGTATGTGTTGCCGGCTGTTCAGCTGTCGATTTATAACTGAAAATTGACTGGCTGCTGCTGTGGTAACGAATTTCTCGTTTGTTTATTGTTTGTTTGTACAAAATCATTGAAAACTCTAGCCTTGGGGCTGGTTAAATCTGTAATCCGTTGCCATGACAAACAAAAAACGGCAGTTGGCGCACATGTAACGGTACTGGCTAATCGCTAAACAAAAATTTGCCTATCGATTGGCGCGGAGCTGGCAACTTGTTGCGATTTGCAAAATGGTTCGCTCATCTAGTTCGCATGGACCAGCCAACTGGTTCTGCGGTGAACGGCAACAGCTCTCAATTGAACACCGAACGGCGAACACTGGGCGCTTTCTATTTCAATGCATTTTCATTAATTGCTCCAGTTTCTTAAGTGAAAATCAATCAATGCAATTGCGCGCATCCGGAAGTATTACGACATATGTAGCGTGCCCGCATTAAAGTGTGTAGTTGAAATTGAAAGAAATCGTTTAAATAACTCTATTATTAAACAGCTGCAACACAAACTCATCTCATTTGTAGGCGAACCCAACGCACGTAGGCGCCGCCACAAGGACGTTTGAGGCTGTCAGCCGGAGAGCGGCTGCAGATTAAGGGCACATTTGACGTCAGCATCCACAATAAACAGCAAAAGAGAAAAAAAGAACAGAAGAAAGTGTCGCAATGATTCACGTTGGCGAAAACTCATGGAATCTGCGAATATTCATAACGGATCTGGCGCTGGAGCGCACGATGCGCGTGCGCGGCGATCAGCACTTGGGCAGCATATTGCTGCAGCTGGTCGATCCAGAGAATCCGAAGGACTGGTCCGATCATGCGCTCTACTGGCCGGCCAAGAACGTTTGGCTAACACGCACACGCGCCACCCTCGACCAGTGCGGCGTGCAGGCGGACAGCTTGCTGCACTTTACGCCCATGCACAAGGTGCTGCGCGTCCAGTTGCCGGATCTGCGCTATATAGACTGTCGCGTGGACTACTCGGCGAAGACGTTCGGCGCTGTTGTGAATCTGTGCAAGCAGTTGGACATACGCTATCCGGAGGAGCTGTCGTTATGTAAGCCGCTCGAGGCGGAGCATCTGAAGAAGAACTTTGCCCAGCTGCCGCATCTGAAGCGTGTGCCCATAGCCGAACCGGATGGCACCACATATCTGCAACCGGCACCAGATACCAACTCGTTTGTGCCCATCAATTCGGGCTTTAATGGCGGCAGCAACGGCAGCCTGGACAAGCCATCGGCGCCAGGTCTGTTCTTCTGTGCGCCGCTGTCGCCGCACAATGCCGCAGGCAGGCGGTCACCCACGCCTCATACGCCCGGCAACTGGAAGCCTAGCCAAACTGGCTACGGCACCTACGACTCTTCCTCTAGTCTGGGCGATTTTCAAGAGAACTTGGCCAGCTCGCCGCATACGCCCAGTGCGGATGTGCGCGCTCGCCTATTGCGACCCAAATCGCTGGTGGAGAAGGCACGCCTCAATGTCGGCTGGCTGGACAGCTCGTTGTCCTTGATGGAGCAGGGCATACGGGAATACGATACACTGTGCTTACGTTTCAAGTACTATACGTTCTTTGATATGAATCCCAAGTACGATCAGGTGCGGATCAATCAGCTGTACGAGCAGGCCAAATGGTCCATACTGAACGAGGAGCTGGATTGCACCGAGGAGGAGACGCTTATGTTTGCCGCCCTGCAATTTCAGGTGAATCATCAGGTGGACATGCAGCCGCTGGCAGCCATTGACTCGGGTATTGAGACGTCCAGTCAGGAAAACGATGATGATGACATCGATTCCGCGCTCAATGAGCTGCAGATCACACTGGAGGGTAGCAATGCACACGATCCGGTTAATATCACACGCATACCGGAACTCTCAGATTATCTGCGCTTCCTCAAGCCCCAACGTTTTACGCTGAGAGGCTACAAACGATATTATTTTATTTATCGCGACTTGCACTTGCATCTTTACAAGACGGCCGAGGATTCGCGATGCACTGCCCCCGCGATTACCATCAATTTGCGCGGCTGCGAAGTCACACCGGACGTGAATCTTGCGCAGGGGAAATATGCCATACGGCTGGAGGTCTCGCCCGAGGACCATCATGGACCAAACAGCGAGGTCTGGGTGCGTTGCGAGAACGAGCAGCAGTACGCCAAGTGGCTGGCCGCCTGTCGGTTGGCGGCCAAGGGTCGCTCCCTGGCCGACAGCACATACGAGAGCGAAGTCGATGGCATCTTGTCGCTGCTTCAGATGCAGCGACCCGTGCACGGCGTACATGTCAACATTGATCCGCGGAACGTTGATGCTGTGGACTATCTGTCACCCAAGATGCTGCGCAAGCTGTCCGGCAAGGCGGTGCAGCGCATTCTGGAGGCACATGCCAATGTGCGGGAGCTGACGCTGCTAGAAGCCAAGCTAAAGTACATACAGGCCTGGCAATCGCTGCCCGACTTTGGCGTCTCGCTGTTCATCATCAAGTTCGATGGCCATCGGAAGGAGGAGCTGCTGGGCGTGGCTCACAATCGCATTATGCGCATGGACCTGAGCACTGGAGATCACATCAAGACCTGGCGCTACAACAGCATGAAGGCCTGGAATGTCAATTGGGGCATAAAGTGCATGATGATACAGTTTAATGACGAGAATGTTGTCTTCTCTTGCCACTCCGCCGACTGTAAGGTGGTCCACGAGTTTATAGGCGGCTACATTTTTATGTCCATGCGCTCAAAGGATAACAATCAGACGCTGAACGAGGAACTCTTTCACAAGCTGACGGGCGGCTGGTCGTAAATTCGATATTTTTCTAATTTATAGGAATCTTTTGTTGTTGACAGTGGCCTTGCTTAGAGCCCATTTTTATAACCTGACGAATGTCCCTAATCAACTGTTGGACTCACAATATTAAGGCAATGTTGCTGGATCATTTTCCCAATTTTTTGACGGATGCCTTTTTAAGCGTTTTTCTTAACTAATCCTGGATGGATTCTAACTGATTTTAACTGAAAGTCTACAATACTAGCCAAGGGCGCTTTTGCCTTCCTAACTTTAATAACTGAGCCTTTATACAACTAACTCTTAAGCAAAAATAAAATAACGCATTCTAACAAATAGAATGACTCTCATATTTGAACTTGACTACGCGCCTTTATGTTATCGATAGCACGATAACAAAATGGAAGCTGCACCTGATATCGATAACTGTATCAGCTGTTTGGTTGTAAACAAACCGTTTGTCAATGTTTTTGGTACCGAATAAAAAATGGCAAAAACCACGTACGGTAAACGAAAGCCTTGGGTCAAGAATCTCTATTCAAACCGCGAGTATCCGGATAACTATACGGATGTGAGTTTCCTAAAAGACTTGCGCACAAATCTTCACGTGCGCCTGTACACTTTCGGCGAGGCTGTTGCCGGCATAACTGTGCTAAACAATCAAATCTCGTGCATAACCGGATTTCTGATACTCTACCATATGATGCTGGTCGAAAGTGTCGCACCCACTAGTATATTGGTGCCCACGTGCATCATTACTGGCATCGGGTATTTGTTCTATCGCGGCAGCAGGCTCAGCATGAAGCTATTGGGAGAGGATTCCAAGACGCTGGTCACGGTGCTGCTCTTTGGCTACATCTTTTCACCCATGCTGCACACATTGACCCAGGCCATTAGCACGGACACCATATATATGACGACTTTCTTTATGATGCTCTTCAATCTGATGTTCTCCGACTACGGCCTAGATGTGGCCATGGTCTCCAAGGCCATATCGCTGAATGCGGCCATATTCGGCGCCATCTGTCTGGCCTCGCGACTGTCCACGTCGTATCACGCCTTTGTTCTGCTCGTCGAGGCGGCGATCTTCTTTGTGCTGTACCCCATAATGATAGCAGCCACATGGCACCCGCTGTGCATGGTGCCCATATTTATCATATGCTGCACGGCGCTATATAATATATCACGGCCGGTGCTGTATCTATATGCCTGCAGCACGCTCTTCATCAACTTTGTCTGCCCGTTTATATTTGTGAGGCATCAGCGCCACAAGTTCAACATTCACGGTCCCTGGGACGAGGCAATTGTTGAGGAGAACACCGAACAGAATCTAGACGAGAATTTATAGCGCCAGCTACGCTTCTCAGAGATGCAATGCATCGATGACGGGGAGCACGAGCCAGAGCACTAAACATATATCTTCACGCTTAATTTAAATATTTATCACACTCATAGCTGAGTCCACATTCCATGTAAAGAGCCTTTCTAATTAATGTACATTTTTTTTTTTAATTTCAAATTCACATTTAATTCAAATTGTACATAGAGACATTTCCACTGTAAATAAAATCCATTTTTGTATTAAAATAAATTTATTAAACCTCGAAGAATAAAAAAAAAAATTAAATTTCTATTTACAAATGAAGTTTAGATGCACAATCAAACTAGAAGGGCTTTCGCAAGGCTATAATAATAAAGCTATCGACCGAAAATAAAATAATTTGTATTGGTTTTCATTTGTATCATTTAATTATAATAGTTATGTTTGATGTAGGCATATATACAAACATAAACGCAGACAAATTGGAACAATCATAAAATAATACAGCATTTATCGAATTAATGACAAAGTTGAAAATCGCTTAAATTAAATGAAGTCTTAATTGCCATTGCAGTAAAAACCTTTTTACATTTAGCATTATAATAAAACTACTAAGAATAAGAAACTAATGCCTAAAGCTTGCGTACATAAACAGTATGTATTTTTGTTTTATTTTATTTTCCTTTCATCGAATTTGCATATGATAATACACTAGGTATTTGTAATTCTATCAACTTTTCGCTAAACATTCGCACTAAACGCGCCCAACGGCCACTGTCTTTGATCATTAACTATATATATATAACTACTAAATACAATATATATTTTGTTGTTTTCGTTTCATGTATAAACTTCTTCAAAATGTAAAAAACGTACATATGCTTAATTGTTGTTAATGTTGCTTTGGACTTAATGCTAAAATTAACTATTTTTTGTGTTATTATATATGTTTTTTGTTTTTCTTGTTAACGCTATCAACATCCCATATAATCATTTATTATACGAATGACATTTCAACTGCATGTTTTTCGCGGCTCTAAGTCTAAAGATTTTTTGAATTGAATTAAGCTAGCACAGAAAATCAAATGAAATACGCTGTGTGGGTTGTGTCTGTGCAGTGGTGGGGTGGGTGGGGCTTCACAAAAACACAGACACGCTCGATATTTTGTTTTAAACTAGACTCGCGCAATAACAACATCGCTCAGAACCTGCACTTGGCCACGCCTCAAATCTAATGGCCCTATATGTAAATTCTACTAAAGAACAGTTTAAGTTGCCAAGAAGAATGCGTGTTATATATATATAAGAAAAAAGCCCAACACGACAGTCTCCGTCCTCCTTTTCAGGTTTAAAGCGCCACCTCATCCCCGTTGCGCGTGCAGGCGCCGCCGCTGAGCTTCACCTGCTCATGGCAATGCTGCTCGGCGCGCAGCTGCAGTTCGCGGCGTCGTTGTGCGGTTAGCGAGAGACTTGGACTGGCATCGCTGGCCGCGATGACTCTGGAAGTTGCTTGACTGTTTGGCTCGTAAAATATATCACGTGTGGATGTGGTTGGGCTTGTGGCAAAGTGTACTTGATGTTGTTGTGCTGGCTGCCGCTGCTGTTGCTGTTGTCAGACTATTTCATTCTTTGGCGTTGGCTCCGCAGATCCTGTGACAGCGCTGCCATTGCTTATCGCTTGGTTGCCACTGGCGGCGGCGGCGGCGGCTTCTAGCAGCGAGCCGGCCTCAACATCGCCAGCCTGGCGTGCCGCATTGCGTTGGCGGCACATGTACGGCGAATTGGTCGGCGAGGGCAGTTGATTCTGTAAGGGATTAAAGTTAATAATGCTGCAGCAAAAGTCAAGTTAATATCCAATTACCAATTTGTTGTTGTTTTGGCAGCAGGTGGCCTTCACGCAGCCCTCGTCCGTGGTGGGGCAGTCGAGGGCACAGCAATCGGAGCCGCTCATGTTAATGCTCGAGGTGCCATCGGACATATTGCAGCCCTCAATCTCACTGAACTCCGGCTGTATGGTAGTCGAGTGTATGCCCTCATTGTGGAAGAACTCCTTGACCTTCTCGGCTATCTTCATATACTCCGACAAGTTGCGACAACTGCGGCAAATGATAAGAATATTATTTTATAGAGGCCATCAATGATGCTGTCGACTGCGTCCACCCTACCGTATGTGCGCGGAGGCGATGATGCGATCGCCGGCCAATTGCCAGACATGAAACTCGTGCACGGCCAGCACGCCGTCGACCTTCTCCAGGAGACGCTTCTGTATGGCATCCACCTGAATGTGCGTGGGCACCGTTTGCAGCAGAATAAGCGCAGATTCACGCAACAGCGGCCACACAGAGTGCAAGATGAGTGCTACCAGCACAATAGACAGAGCCGGATCAATGTACAAGCGATACTGCCAGTCGCTCTTCCAGACGACCAACGCGCTGACCACGACAATGACGCTGCCCAGAGCATCGCTGAGCACGTGCAGAAAGGCGCCACGCATGTTCATCTGGCCGGGATCATGGCTGTGACCGTGACTGGACTTCTTCACCTGCTTCTCCTTCTGCTTCTCATAGGCATAATCGTTTTGCTCATCCTCGCCCTCGTCCATGTTGGCCAGCTCCGTGAGGCGGCTGTGATTGCGCGTCAGACCACCGCCATGCGAGTGTCCATGATGACCGCCGTGCTCTAAAGGTATTTAAATTGATTAAATTCTTGATAGACAGTTGATTAATATACAGTATACGCACCATATAGGAGACAGAGGCCAATCATATTGACCAGCAGACCCAGTATGCCCACAATAAGCAGCAGCTCAGGTTTATGTATGGGCTCCTGCTCGATGAATCTGTTGGAGAAAATTGGAATGTAAGTTGAGTTTTGGTAAGTAAAATAACATTTAATTTGGCAATAACAGACTTAAGCTCTGTTAAGCCGAAAACTGTAAGCAAATGGCGTGCTGTTTTTTTATATTAAAATGTTAATCCGCAGGTCTTGGTGAGTGGAATAACATTTAATTAGGCAATAGCAGATTTCAGCTATGTTAAGCCGACAACTGTTAGCAAATGGCGTGCTGTTGTTTTTATTAAAAAGTAAATCGATTGAGGACAGTTTAATATGAGGTAAGTCTAGATAATTAATGTTTTAACATTTGTATGCTTAGATATCCAGTGAACCTAATAAAAACGTATTGAACGTAGTGTTTATATTTAATATCCAGTTCTAATGATAAGCTCAAGCGTGTGCCATATATTGGATTACCTTATTGTTGACAGAACAACATAAAGGAAAGTGAGAACATTTGCTAAAGTAAATACTGTTAGCAAATGATTTACGGCAATAAATTTGTTCTGATTTGTGTAAATGATATGCAACTAAATTGGACTGAACTGGTTTATAATATTTGTAATCTTATTGCGGCGATTCCGGGTCTACCGCGCCCAGCTCTACGGCGCTAATCATAGCTATTTGAAAGCAAAGAAGAAGAGCTTGCACGTTTATACAATCGTCTGGCGTATAAAAACGCGCATCGTAAAGTGGCAAGAAATATGCACGCGGCATGCAAATGGAAACGCTGCGAATAACAAATGGCGAATATCGAAAAACGTAAACTAAAATAAAGATAACAAAATAAACGAATGACTAACAACAACAACAATAAATAACAAAAACAAATTCAAGAAAATGTGAACACACACGAAACGGTGACAAGGCGAAATGTTCAAATTGCGCGCTGGGTGTGCGAAGGCGTTGACCACGACAGCAGCAGCTACACACACACACACACACACACACGCACACACAGACAGACACATACACAGGTACATATGGGCACAGGTGCCTCACCTTTTGCAAGCCTCAATTGTGATGCTGAAGCAGAGCGCGACCAGAAACACAGCATTGACCAGAGCGCCCAGAACCTCGGCGCGTGCCCAGCCGAATGTGTTCTTAGACCATTTTTTGGGTGACATCTGTTGGGATCGAGAATACATATTAGTTAGGCTATAATAAAGGCATATAGGCAGATATAGTACGCACCTTAACTGAGAGGAATGATATGACCAGGGCGGCTATATCGCCCAGCATGTGAAAGCTGTCCGCGACGAGGGCCATCGAGTTGGTCACATAGCCGACTATGATTTCCACAAAGAAGAAGAAGGCCGTCAGCCACATCATCGAGAGGAGGCGGCATTTTTTGCCCGAATATTTGGACATCTTGGAGAAACTGAAAGAAGGCAAACAAAGCGGGAAACATACATTAAAATTTGCACAGGCAATTTTGAAGGCGTAGAAGATCGTTTGGATAAATATATAATACTTAATATAGATACAATACTAGATTAGTATATACTTGGAATATACACCATAATCTTTGACTATATAGTTAATTATTTAAAAAAAACACGCCCACACAATGCGTTCATTCACCTTTCGATTCTAAATTCGATTAAATTCATAGCCTATTTGTTTTCTTCGGAAAATCTTTTGTAAACAAATTTGTTTGGCAAACAACAAATTGAATGCATTCAATTGTCACACAGAAAAAAGAAAAGTTTTTAACTGAGATTTGATTGAATGAAAAATAGATAAAATGGGAAAACAATTTAGGCAACGCATGAATGCGCTTTGCCAATGGGCTTGGCTTGTTCCTGAGTTGTTTTTGTTTTATAATGCTTGACTGGAGCAGTGGACAGCTCTTTGGACTCTGATTGATTGATTGATTGATTTGAAGCAAAACTTACGCAAAGAACTTCATTTGGTTGCAGGATTTCTGGGACACAGAAGCTGCCGCTGCTGCGTTGCCTCTGCGTGTGGCTTATAGACTGTTATGTGGCAGCTTCACTTGTATTATATATAGATATATGTATATATATAATATATTATTACTAAGAAGCGGGCTATCGACTGGCGTTGCAGCAGCAGCAGCAGCAGCAGTTTTTTTTTTTTTTTTGTGTAAACATATACAAATTATACAATACAATTTCAACTGAAACGAACGAAATACAAAGAGCCGCGCGCACAGACGACAATAAACTTGTCGTCAAGCGGCAGGGTAACTCTGAGTGGGGCGGGGCGGGGGCGGTTGGATGTGGGCTGAAAAAGGGGGGTGAGGGTGGTAAGGGTTGGAGCAGCAGCTTGTTGTTTTTGTGCTGGTAGCTAAGAAAACAATTTGTATACTCCCATTTTTGCGATCAGCCGTTGACTAAGCAACCAAACAAAGCAAGTAAAAGTGGGCTCTAGCCGGGAGTAGCCGACTGGGAGATACCCTGTACACTCTAGCTTCCCTCTATACACGAACAAACACACGCCGCAAGCTGAGAACTTATACGATGGCAGTTTCTTCCAGTTGCCCCTTATTATATGTAGATATTTCCTACTAACTTGGCTGGTTAAAGTTCGATCCTTATAATATCCTTATAATTCTTATAATTTCAGCGCTCATATCTGGCACCCAAAGGGGTGTATATGCCAAAGAGCAAGGTTCTACTCTAAGAAATTTGGGGTCTTTCCAATGTTGGGCAGAAAAACAAGTTTAGCTCTCAATTGTTGAATTATGATCGAATTAAGCTCAAAAAACCATGTCTCCGATTTATATTTATTTATAAATTATACAAATGGAAGCAGACATAGGGATATAGGGAGATAAACTCGTTCTGTAGTTAAAGAATCAGAGAGCCTCTGTTATGCCTAAATCGACTCAGTTGTCCCAGTCAACAAATTTTTATATATACACATATATGAAGAAAGCTTCTCCGGACTATATACCTCTGACATACATTTGCACAAATAGAAAAACAAGATACCCTTTTAGTCAGTCTTTAAGTTGAAGGCAAGCACTTGGGACATGCATCATCCGCTGCACGCCAAAAACAGAATTCCCAACAACTAAAATTGATTTTACAATCTCCTACGTAGTTTTTTCCGTCTTGTGTCGCATTATCTTGGCACACGAGACGCGAAAAAAATATGTTAACTATCTTTTTTCTTTTGCTCTGGTACATGCGATAGAACAATGAGTAACTAGCTAACTCTTATCTTGTCTAATATTTGCTTTTATCGTGTTATCAGTTGGTGCTAAATGCCCGTCAACGAGTAGATAAAAATCTGAAGTAGACCCCCGACCCACAGCGCGGCCATCGCTAATTTTAAGCTTGTGCGACGAAAAAAGCTTAGTGAATGAACGAAGCTGAAATACACTTACAGATATAAGACATAATAATATAGATAAAGAGTATATTCCCTATTTAATAGAACCATATTTAAACACCATCAAGGTGCAGCAAATTATCTGTTCAGTCTGTTCAAGGATCTCTCAGTTCTATCAACTCGATATTGTCTACACCTTGGCTTTCGTTCAAAGCTTGAACTTGTTGCGAATTTTAGCACATCAAGAGACCAGCGTTTGCTAATGTTAAGTTACGCAAATAAAGCTAAGTGAATGAAAGAAATATATATATAAAATAATATATATACAAATTATATTCCATATTTAATAGATTCAGGTATTAAACCTAAACCAAAGCACAAGGAAATTATTTGTTTAGCCTGTTCAAGAACCTCACGTCTGCCACTTGCTCAAAGCTTAAACTTGTTGCGAATTTTAACACAACAAGCAATGATCGTGGCATACATATTGTATTCTATCATTAACGACTCACGACATAGGTTTCAAGTATATGAGAATACGATTTGATAGCATATGATATAGCAGCTCGTAGTTCAACATATTAAAATCATAGTTAAAGCTCGCATATGGAAGATATCTTAGAAAAGATAAAGAGTTACATAAAAGAACTAAGTTTTCGACTAACTGTTTCCACATATAAAATTGAGTGTCTATGTATGAGCTTTTTAATATCAATAGTTACTACATTGGAAACGTATACGCTTTATAATATCCAGAGTTCTTGAAAGATCTCGGTTCTATACCAAATTCCATCAAGGCAGCCTATCGGCCTGTCAGTAGGCATATATGTAAGCCCTACAGGCTAGTTGTGTCTACATAAATTCATGACGCCTGACATATGAAAATGATAAAACCCTTTTGAAGAGTAACCGCCAGCAATTGCTCGGGTTTTGGTGGGTTGGTTGGTTGGAAACTGCGGAAAAGTGCCAGTGGAGATTGGGAATACATAATTACTAAATACAATGCGATTACTATGTTGCCTAGCTAATTGTGCGATAAGTATGCTATTGTTATATATTTATAGATATATGCATATGTAAATATACATGTGTTTACATATGTATATGTAAATATGTTTAGGCTAACAAACTTTGCTTCACTTTGATATAAATTAGAATCTAAGGTTCATAATACTTAACAAAGTTAAGGTATTACTTTGTTTCTTCTTTTAAAAACGTTTCAATTATACTTAAAGCAGGAAAATGTTGAGCATGCTCAGCTATGATGTATCCTGTATAATGTTTTAGAGCTATTCGCTTAGAGAAACCAAAAATCAAATGATATTTCTCTAGGCTCATTAAGTCTCTTAAAGTTCACAAAAATAAGCTTGCAAATGTCAGCATTATATGTTTTTTTTTTTCACATGCATAGACTCTTTTCCCACACTTCAATTTCTATAGGGTATAACAATAAATTAGACGCGATTTTGTATATATTTTTTTGGCAAGGCATAAAAAGTCTCGAAATTAACAAAATTATATAAGTAAATGCACAAAGTAAAAGTGAGTGAAATATCGGAGTTGAAAAAAACGAAAGCAATAATTAAGGCAGATTTGTTGTGTTTTCTCAGCTTGTGACATTGATTGGCTATAGATTTGGGCTATTTTATTTTTAGGTATTGCTCAACGCGATATTTTAACTAAACTTAGTGACTTTTAAGGTAATGGCAAGCAGCTCTCACCTGCACACTCGATTAAACACTGGCCAACGCCTTTGGCCCGGGCCTTGGAGCCTCGAGGCTCTTACGGACATGACTCTAGCTGATAGCACCAATCTATTAAGCCTTTGAGCCACTGTCCGATAGCGACGTTGACAAAATATTCGATGCGGACGTGTCTGGCAAGCCAAAAAGGGTAGCTCAGCTGCCCGACGAGCCGAGTAAACGGCGATCGACGGGCAACAACATGGCCAAGTTAACAGAGAGAAGACAACTCGAAAGTGGGGGAGGGGCTAAGTGGTAAATACTTTAACCAAAAGTAATGAGGGAAGGGAGGGGGAGTGGCAGCTACTACTAACACATTTAGTGTGGCGTCCCCATTGATGAAATCGACATTTCACCTAGTTAGCTCTCGCATTTGACTTCATGGTTATGTCAGAGCCGAAACGAACCAACCAGTTTTTTTTTTTTTGGCACGTGATTGTTTTAACCAAACACGAAATGTTGAGAATCAGAGCTTCAAAAACACATGTAATATGTGTATAATAGAAAAATAGTAATTACTAAATTTCAACTGCACTTGACCATGGCGAAAAAAAAAAAGTAGCCCTCAAGCGTCAGCCACGTGCTGCCTGCTAAATTGTTACATTCCGATATATAAATATATACTATATGTACACATATATATATATATATAGTATAGCTAGTCAATCCAATGCCATTTCGTAGCGCTTCTATTTATTATTTTTATGAATTTCCGGCTGCACAGCGCTTTGTTTGGCTAAGCACAAGGATAAATTCGTTCGTTCGAAATACGTTTTTATACCCTTTCCAGTGGGTACTTTAGTTTTGTCATTGAGCTAACTCAGCATTTGCGACTAAGATCGAACTACTTTAAGATATAGAAAAAAGACTGCGGAGCGATAAAAAGAAAGGTGGCTGGTTCGAATCGCTCTGTTGTTTCGGTTGTTGTACGGTGTGAACCCGAATTTAGTTAAACATCAAATCACATTTCATGCAAACCTTACTTTGTTTTTATATACATATATGTGTATGTGTGTGTGTGAGCGTGTGTGTTAGTGTATGCATGTATGTATTCATTTATGTATATATGTATGTATGCATGTGTGTTTTCTAATACCAAACGTACCCCAAGCTTATTTGTCGCTGTGCTGCAAATTTAAATGAAACGAATTTCTTCCAAGTGCTCTTCTCCTCGATTCTCAAGAATTCAAGTAGGCTCTGCAGTTTTTCATGCTAAGCTAGTAGTGTAGTGCTTTTTTTTTGGTTGTTTTTTTTTGTATGTATGTATGCATGTTTGCATGTATGTATGCATGTATGTATGTATGTGTGTGCATGTATGTATGCATGTATGTAGGTAGGTATGTATGTATGTATGTATGCATGTATGCATGTATGTATGTAAATAAATAAAACGAATTACTACCAAGTGCTCTTCTCTTCCATTCTCAAGAATTCAGGTAGGCTCTGCAGTTTTTCATGCTAAGCTAGTAGTAGAGTGTTTTTTTTGGTTGTTTTTTTTTTGGTATGCATGTATGTATGTATGTATGTATGTATGTATGTATGTATGTATGTACATATGTGTGCATGTATGTATGCATGTATGTATGTATGCATGTATGCATGTATGAATGTATGTAGGTAGGTATGTATGTATGTATGCATGTATGTATGTATGTATGTATGTACATATGTGTGCATGTATGTAGGTATCCGGACATGTTTTCATACATGTACGAATGCATGCATGCATTTTTGCCTATTTGCAAAACAAACATGCATACATGTACGTGTAAACATATATATGCAAACCTAAAACTTTGCCAAAAAAATCGTTGAACCGCATTTCTACCGAGGAAGCTTGGGCTCTACGAAAAGTGTGAAACACCCCAAAAATGAATTTGGACATTTGGATCTTTGAAAAGGGCACCTTTTTCAAACGTTTTTCGAAATTTTTCCACACATGCGGGTGGAATTTCCCTACAATGAAAATTTCAGCTTCCTAGCTAACATTTGCCCTTTGTACTGAAAGTATTGCTAATCGTAGATATTTTCACATTTAAAGTACGGGCTAAATTTGATATCCACCTGAAATAGTCATCTGCCAAACATGGTTAGATTAATGCAATGGTTGGGAACAAAGTTATTTCTGCTTTAGGACAGAGTCTTCCTCAAACGCTTTTATTTAGAGAGAGTTCCGGGTTTGAACCGACTCTGATTAAACTCAGTCTATAGCCTTGATAGCCTATCGGTACTCAACGTACATATACATTTATATATATAGGTACTTCAATCTTTAGCTTTATAAATAAATATCTGTAGCACGTGATGTGCCTACGCATTTATTACGCCAATTAAACATGCAGCGCACATGCAAATGCTGCACACACACATTTGCATATGCTCATGCACGTAAAACACACACATACACACACACACACACAAGCACATCTGTGATTTAAGCCGAGCCGGGCCGGGTCACAATTGGGTTACAATATTCTAGGTCATGTTGCTTAATTGGCCGCTCTGCATTTGCATGAATGTGTGTGTGTGCGAGTGTGTGTGTGATAACTGACTTTCGTACATGTTGAACTTTTGGCATATGCCATGTTGACTTTGTGCCCTTTAGCCACCCCCCCCCCCCCTCCCTCCGTCGTTATTGTGGCAACATTTGATAGGCCTCTTGGCAACCTGACCAGCATAATCTGCTCTGCGATAAGAACTGTTTTTTTTTTTTTTTGTGGGTTTGTAGAGCTTAAGACATGACCTACAAAAAACCAGTTGATTTGACTTTATCAACGGATTGCGCCTCGATGCCAGTTTGATAAGTAATTAGAAGTTAAGTTGAATTCCCAAAAACAAAGCGATGTGATAATGAATTCTCTGGAGTGCTATTAAACAAGAAATCTAGATGATATTATTATTGACAATTGATTATAATAATATATTATCATTAGCATTATATATTATCTAACATATTATCATTGAGTATTGTTTAGTTGGAGGTGAGCAAAGTAATGTATCAGTTAGTTTATATGAGTTAGCCAATTGACGAACAAAGTGAACATGGATAAATTAATAACTATTAATTTTAATCTATTAACTTAGAAAAAGTGACCATGGCGACTTATCAACACATTAATATTAAGCATTTGTTATGTTCAAGAGACCATGGAGGACCTCATATAGGTGCAATAAACCTATCCAACTAGGCTCCAGGGGACCATGGAGGACCCCTTAAACTTGCAGTACATCTATCTACATATAAATATGTGTCCATGGAGGACACATATCCACATATATGATGCATTTGTTGTGTTCAAGAGGCCAAGGTTCAAGAATATGTTACATTTGATATGTTTCCAAGTAACCATGGAGGACATTTGCATAGATTCTGCTTAATATTATTACAGACAAGTCCAAACTAGGAGAAGTTATTAGGGATTATAATAAAATAAAACGACGCAACGAGCTGGAAACCAAAAGCCTTGTTTTTAATTTGACTGCAAATCCTGCTGCCACTCCAATAAATCGTTTGCTCGGGCAACATTTTGGTGTGCTGCCAGAGCAATAAGCTGGCACGACAATAAAAAGCGAATCAAATAATTACTTTAATTACAAAATTGCAAAATTACGGGTACCAACAATGGCGGAAATTGTGCCACCAACAATACTTTTTTATATACAATTTTTCTTTTTTAACAACAACAAAATGTAAAAAGAAGCGCCATCAACTACGCCGCTGACAATTAACCCGTTTTTCCTTCGCTGCAGCGCGGAAAAGCGCAAAAGGCTCACAAAAACAAATATACATATATATATATATGGGAGACAACTGAAGCGTCTGCCCGCGGGCAAGAGAGGGGCGAGAGGAAGGGAGTGGGACGGTGGTGTTGCGCAAAAGTGGGGCAGGTAAATGAGTTTTGATTTATTTATGCAAATTCTGTGGCACGTTGCAGGGACAAAGAAAGAGAGAGAGGGAGAGAGAGAGGGGGGAGATGGGAGGGGGTACGAGTGGGCGTGGCATTGGATGGATACTTTATATACATACATATACACAATCAAACCTGCTGACCCAATTCGCGCTAGAGTAGCCAAATGGTTCCCGTCAACAGCAACAACTCTTTGCAATGACAGCCAAGAGCTTGCAAGCTGCAGCGACATTTGTATCATATATGTATACATATATATATATATATACATATATATATATATATATATATATATATGTACATCCTCCTTATAAGTCAAGGCTCTCACTTTTCAGAGATATGGAAGATTTGTAAGGACCCAAACTAAAGTAGCGCACAACTGCTGTTAGCAACAGCTGTTGACCAAAGCTGTTAAAAATAGCTGTTAACACTAGCTGTTGAAAATAGATGTTAACAATAGCTGTTGACAAAAGCTGTTAGCAATAGCTGTTAGTAATAGCTGTTAACAATAGCTCTTGCTCCCTAAATCAAAGAACTGTTGTATTTAACACAAAATTTTTTTTTCCTCCAATCTTATTTAAAATTTAATATTTATTTCAGAGACTTGCGTTAAAACTTAATGAACATGTGTTTGGTGCACTTCGGAGAATCCACCTTGATTTTTTTCTTGCCCGGATGGAAAAGCAATGTTGACAATTTAAAGAAAAACTTTTGGTTATGTCCGGATAATACTTGTTAGTAGGTGCATATGTATATATACAATACTATAACAAACGCGAACTAAGTATGCTTTACATTTCTGAAAACTCTGCCAGCTGAGCTGGGAATTTATTAAAATAACGTATTTTTACTTATTGCTCTACTATGCGATTCTTATGAATTCAAGCCTTACAGGTTTTCATGTTTTGTTTATAATATTCATATTTATATTCACATTAACCAAGTTGTGGTGTCAATCTTATTAACTTAATCTCTGGTTATACTCTCACCACAATTTAATCCCTGCACTCTTCTTTCTCTCTCCCTTGTCTTATTCCTCTTTCTTTTTTAAAAACTTACTCTAATCCGCTTTCTACCTATTTTGTTATTCCAGTGATGAAAGACTCTCCATCCCACTAGAAGATGGCAATAAAGGAATCACACCAGCAAATAGTTATTTCTGGTAAAGTAAAGTCATAATTTATGACATAAGCAAGGCCAAACTTCCAAGACTTTCACTTTATTTTATGGGAACTGCTCGAGAACTAATGTGAATATTATCAGAGTGTGATTAGCCGGCGCTTATCTGGTGAAACTAATTGCGTGTAATACTGAGCTGTGCAAAAGGAAACCTAACCCAGTTAGTTTTGTCATAAATCTACGCTCGTTTATGGTCGCTGGCAAACATAACCCAGTTCTAGTTTCACGTAGAGAGCACTGATTATTGGGTTCGGGGTCTATGTGTTTACCTTCATCCAATCAAATGTGTTGGCCCCAGAGGAATCGGTCGCATCAAATATTTAACTTCCTCCAATATTGATGAGCAAAGCGAAACAGATTTATAAATAAACCAAATCATATTTGCCGCCAAATTTAATTAACACGTATTGATTTTTTTGCACTCGATGTCACTCAATTATATTGGAATAATTGACAAAGCAGAAAAAAACCACGAAGGGGGTTGCAAGCTGGCGCTTGAATATGGAGCGTGACCTTTAAAGAGAGCTCCCACGAATGTGACACGGCGCAGCATCAGATAATGTTAACTAATGAAAACAATTTTAGCAAAGTCAGCGAATTGGAAAGAACTTTAGTTAGATTTTAAAATTCCGTTGAAAGGAAAAGGAACAAAGATCAAATTGTGGCTGATAATGAGCAAAGATAAACAAGTTGAAGAGCAAGAACAAAGCTAATAAAATGAATGCTTGCATAGCTCAAGCAGTTGAATGAATAGATAAAAAATAAAATTGTGTATTCAACTATGGAATTTATCTGAAAAGAATATATGCAAATACTTAATTGTAGACATAGGGCAAATGCGATAGCTGTGCAACTGACAGACAGACAGACAGACAGACAGACAGACAGACATGGCTATAACGACTCGGCTGTTCGAGAATATATATACTCTGTGGGATCGAAGATGTCTTCTTCTATGCGCTACACATCGCCCACATACGTAACAAAAAAGGAAGCTAAAGTAAATCACACGATATTAAAATTACCCACAACAACAAACAATCGTTGAGTGAGTCAGAATTATTTCTGATAAAGAGCCATGGCCAAATGATGATTACGATAATGACTAAGATGCCGAGAGACCGAGCTTCGATCGGATGTGCCAAGCAGAACCGGTTGCTGAAGCCGGCACAAGTACAAAAAAACGGCAGGAAAAACAAATCTAACAAGCAGCATTGGTCAGGTAACTATGTAGATAAGCTGGAGGTGTGGGCCTTTGAAGGGAAGACAAACGGCTGGCGAGTAGTTTTTCACGAATGTCAACAACTATTGAGGCGCATGGAAAATGCCTCATATGAGCCTGTCTACCTGTGCCCAAATGGGCGTGTGCGCACAGTTCGCTGACCCAATAAAACAACAACAATAGCAACAACAGCAACAACAAGTGCTTGAAAGGGCGTGCGGGGCAAGACATGTTCGCACAGGTTTCCTTTGACTTGGCTCGTTTTGGCATTTGTGTTAGTTTTTTGTGTGTATTTGTGTTTTGTCAACAAACATGTGTTGCCCAAAGTGTTGCCCATGTTTTAGGAACCAGCCAGTTTAAAGGCTATATCAAATGGACCTTACACTAACTATTAAAAGGCTAAAATGCCATAAGCAAAAACCAAAAACCACGTTTAAGGAACTTAAAATAAAGCTAGTTTAAAGGCTAGCTTAAATGGTTCTTACAATAGCTATTAAAGGGCTAATGCGCCAAAGCTAGTTTAAAGGCTAAATCGAATGGTTCTCACAACAGCTATTAAAAGGCTAAAATGCCATTAGCAAAAACCGAATTGGCAGCACTGTTAGCTTTGCACATCAATTTGTTCTGTTATTTCACGATTCTGATTTCATTCCGATTCGTTTTAGGAGTGAGAGGGGGGCTAGAATAGGCAGCGGCCGAGTGTGTGAACTTACCGAACTTTAAAAGCTGCCGGCACCTTTTTTTTTGTTGATCTGTTCAATTGCTGAGGTTCAGCGCGGCTGTTGATGTCCGACGACGTTGGCCGCAGGAAGAGCGGCTTTGATTTAGATCTACGAACACAAATTGTAATTGCTTATTTATGACTTGTTTTGCACTCTAAAAGTCTTCTGCAAAATTCATTGCGACACAATAGGGCCGTTGCGTATGTGTGTGCGTGTGGCGCTCTCAACATATACATACACACATGCTACATGCCACATACATGTTCAGCTGTGATAAAAACAAAGCGAGAGCCGATAAGTTGACGTTGATAAGTAATTTGCTTATTTGTAACGCGTGCAAAAAGTTGGTGCTCCAGCAAAAATAAATTCAAATCTATAAACAATGTGCAGATTCTAGAGACATATGTGCGGTGTGCAGTTATCTTGTGAATAGCACGCTACACTCAAAATTCCTGCACTCTTTTGGGCTAGTGGGTGGCGCACGGCACGCCTGATTTATGTGCAACACATATACATGCATGCATATGTATGTATGTATTGTTAACAGCGAACAGCGTAATGACATCGCTACACGTTAACACACACACACACACACGCGCACACAGTGAGCAATACACCCAGCATTTTGACAACATTCGCCAGCAAATTAACACTTCTGCACTCAGCACGTGCACTTGTCAATATGTGTCAATTGCCTTTATTTCAAACTTCGCATTACCAATTTTTTATTTATTTATTTTATTTTGCTTCCGATACTGAACTGCGAGCACCCTGCACTTGTGACTTTATTAAAATTTTCAAGACGACTAACTGCGCTGACCGAAACTGCCAAAGTCGAAAATACCAACTGTTTTCAGCAGTGTGACCAAACTTGATTTTTGTTAGAGCATGCTTTGTGATGACCGCAGTAAATATATACGGGTGTTCAGCGATATATCGATATATTTGGTAAGCAGTCGTGACTGAAGATGGCGAGTGCAACGGCTGCACCAAGATAGCGAGCAGCGAGTGCGCCAAGAGTATAAAATGAAAGCTGCACTCTTTTGATTTCAACAGTAGAAGAAAGTAACCCAGTAAATAAGTTCAAGATAGCATTATGTCTTTGGCTTCGAATCTGCAGAATATATTGGGACAGCTCCAGATCAAGGACAATGATCGTGCCAAATATACATCAGATGCAGTGGCAATTTGCAATGTTTGCTGATCCAAACTTCCGTGATGACTTTAATGGACTCAACCTAGCTGGTAATACTTAGATAATTGCTGTTACTTAATTTATTTAAAATTGATTCTACTGAATATTCTGTAGGCAGCTACTTAGATCGCGTGAAACTGAAGACCCCCGACGAATTTGATATGCAAATGAAATTAAAGTTTCCATTTCAAGTTACACCCAAAAAAGACGATCAACGCGCAGGCTTTGTCTATTTGGCAGCCCCGGGTGGTAACAGACATCCGGCAGTCGAAAATGGCTACGTTAACAGAATATCATTGCAAAATTGGCTGCGTAATGCATTTCGGAAGGTATTCAGTTCGTATAGCAGGTTTATCGTAAATGGCGAAGCCTACAATCTTGAGTATCTGCTAGAAGGATATGGATGTGCCCACACCATAGTCGCTAAAAATAAAGATAGAGAAATAGCATTCGATTTTGTTCCAGTTGTCGAGTTCTCCTATTCGGACTGGCCATTACCGGCCCCATCTGTGTCTCGTGAAGTGCGAGAGTAATGGCCCTGGTTTGCCGTACCACAACAATAGGCACCTGCTTCGGATATCACGTTCATGGTCTGCGCACCACACTGGGAGCGCGAAATGATGAAGGGCAAGGATAATTTGAAGAACGTGTTGCGCCTGATGAAGGCTATGCGTGATGCTCACAAAGATGTTATGCCCAAGTTGTCCAGCTATATGCTCAAGACCGTTATTCTTCTAGAGCTGGAGAGGGCAACAAGTAGATTCTGCCAACAAGATCTGGTCACAATCTACATTGCCATGTGGACCAAATTGGTGGAGTATTTACGGAACGAGGAACTTCCATTTTTCTTGGCAAACGATTGCAATCACTTTGATCGTTTGAAATATGCCGATAATTTGGCAAAATGCAAGCGAGTCGCTGGAATTCTATTGCAGAAGCTCAATTCATTGAGCAATTATTCCAGCTACAACGATGTAGCTAAACTTTTTCTTTAATTGACAATTGTACTTAAAGTGCATTGCAATCCAAATAAAACTCTTATATCCAAATAGCTCTTGAACACCATTTTGTTGGAGTGTGTTATTTGTTTTTCAATATTGGGGTTGAAATATTCTTGCGCTATGATAACTAAGCAACATTCAGCATTGAGTGTTTCCTGCTTTTATAGTATACGTGAGGACGGACGAAATGACCGGCTGATCAAGAATATATATATACATGTATATAAAGCTATGTATTCGATTTGGCGTGCCATAAACATACAATAAAATACACGAGCAACATTTCATTATCTCATTTTTATTGCGTAAAGGAAACTGACTCACGGTCATGTGATAATTAGTTGAATTCGGGGAATAACACAAAATTGACCATAAACTTTAATTCGACTCTCCCGTTGTCAATAAGGCCGGAATTCTTTTGGGTTTCATCAAGGGACGGTCAAAGGAGTTTGACGCTCCTTTTTATATCCACATTTGATCCATATAGTCATAAGTAGCCATCTCTGGTTACATATCTATATATAAATATATATATATATATATATATATATATATATAAAGGCATATGCAAGAACATTCAATTATCAACTTACTTTATATACCACTTACGCCTTTGCATACAATTCTCAACTTATTTTGTATATGCTACTTAGAAATGCCTCAAGCATATAAGATTACATAAATAAGAATCATAAGCATATCGAACTATCATTTAACGATTCTGGCAACCCAGACCTAAACATCCGCCAGATATATTTTCACAGTCAGAAAATTAGCTAACGCAGCTCAAGAGCAGGCTGAGGCTAATGTGCCCAAATAAACAAAGCAGGCTCGATCGAACCCTTATGCTCAAAGAGTGTTTATGCTAAGAGAAAAAAAAACATCCAAACATAACGATACAATTTGAAAGCTCTAAATTAAATGTACCATCAAATCTATAAGCCAAATAGACAATTTGTACTAAGCTAACAATATACACTAAGTAATATACATATTCATATACACTGCATACATATGCTATGCAAAATTCAGACACATTCAGGGAAATACCCCTTTTTTACATTAAAAGTTCATGACTGCACTCGTTACTTTATGAGTAGCGAGTAACCTGCGCGGGCAATTCAAATTCGAAATAAATGTTCGTAACGTATTTTCAGAGTCGGGCGCAAGTCGTGTTTTCTTTCGTAATGCAAGCGGGCGCGACTCCTCCCAGTGTCCCAGTATCAAAAAAAATATTTAAACAACAAATTCAATCATTTTTAATTTGATAAATGGCAGTAATATCGAAATCAAGTAAATGAAATTCTATTTTAAACAAATGAGTGAACATTTATATAGAAAAAAAACTAGATATATTTATTTTACTTGCGGGTTTTAAAATGTTAGTTCGTGTCTCTGACTTGTTGGCAGAGACAACAATGAAAACGAATGATTGGTTTATTTTAATTTATCAAAAGTTGAATACCCCGCCGGTTCCATAGAATACGCATAATAATTCTCTTTTGTACTTAAGCACTATAAACTTTATTAAAATATATATTTATATAAATTGCTTGCGCTTATAAATAAAATTTTACGCTTGGAGTTAAAACAACATGTTGGTATTTATGCATGTCTGCTTACGTTCTAAGACAAATAAATATATGTATGTTTGCATATATATATTATGCAGATATTTTTCATTCAAACGCTTACGCGTGCATTCTAGAAACTACAAAGAATTGAGCAACAATTTGCATGAAAAGCGAAAACATTTAAAGTACACAGTTTATGCAAATTATCATTTAGTTATATACTAGCTTTGATTGAGACAGTGATGAGAGATAGAGAGAAAAAAAGAGTTTTGGATTTGGGGCATGAGTTGAGCAAGCCACCAAAAATGCATGCGTGCAACTGACGCCTTGGCCTAGCTCTCCCAGACTTCGTCGCGCTGTTTGGCAGCTAAAAGTTTGCGTTCTGTGAAGCATAAAGACAAGGATATACATATAAATAATTCGAATGATTAAAGGGAGTCTTAAAGACACACCTTTGGCTTCGCGTAGCACACGCCTTTCGTTCTCCCGCTCCTCCGGTGCTGTGGGCAGCTTAACACCCAAAGCGCCGGATACCAACCGACGCGCCAGCGCCGTACAAGTCTCTGGTCGTTGGCGATATGGCTGCAGCGAAGTGGCACCCGCCTTTTTTGCCTTAAGACGCGATTCCAGGGTGGCCTCGGCTAGCGGTTTCAATTTGACAAATGGATGGCCCATGGTCAGTACCTCAGCAGCTGTCAAATGTTGATGCGTTAGCGGGATATACATTTAAATGGACAAGAATCTTGCTATCATGAATCACTCACCAATGCGAGAGCTGCTAAAAACGGCCAAAGCATGTGTATCATCCACCCACTTGATGTCGAAGCCGGCGCTTTTGTACTGCGAGAAAAGCATTAGCAAATCCGGAGTCTTGAATTCCATTGGAAAATTCGAGATTTCCAGCACATGCGGAAACTCCTCCTCATTCAGAAGTGATTGTTTAATATGATAGACCTGGCGAACAACAGTAAAGAAATCAATAATTAATACAGTGTGTAGCATTCGAGGCTGCATTTACTTACGCTATAGTCCATTTTAGGCAGTTCGATTTTGCACTTGCCCACCGATTCGGTGAGCTCTTGCAGAATTTTTGGATTTAGACAGTCGCCGTTCTCATCAAACATATTCTCCCAATCATCTTCGTTTTCCTCATCATCATCCTCGGTGGTGCTGTCGGCATGTAGTGTAATGGATGCTGCTGCCGTTGTGGCAGCCGTAGCTGTTGCGGCGGCGCTGTTCTTGGGCGATGCTTCAATCATTTCGGGTATCTCTAGCACGTCCGATACAAAGGTCTGCTTCATTATGCGACGGTTGCTACGATTGATTTCCTATACGAAAATACCATTAATTAAAGTAAATATACAACATTTTTAATTATGGCACCCACCTTAGAGGCTCGCTGCAGCTCGCGCACATCGTTATCACATTTGTTGGCATCCTCAGTCGTTGGCGCATTGTGGGCTCTCGGCAGCGCCGCATCCTCGATGCGTAGCGAATGCTGTTGCTGTTTGCCATTGCTGTGGGTTTTGTCCGTCTTTGTACGCTGGGCGCCGCCCATGGTCTGGAAATTGGGATGGATTAGCTAGCTGGGAGCAACAATTTTATGCATTGGTTAAGCACCTCCTTATCACAGTTGCTATCTGGCGGTGGTGCTGACGTTGTAACCTGGTTGGCTTGGTTTTCGCTAGGCGCAATCACAAGCAGCGTATCTGGCTCAATTGTTTTGCCAACTGTTTTCTTGCCGCGCTCTCTGCGCGATCTCGACTTCTTGGGTTTTGCCTGATTACCGTTGCCGTCGTCTGGCTTTGACGAGTTTGTATTTACAACTGGCATATCCAATGGCTGTGGCAGCTGTTGGGGATTGCACGTAACCGATGTTGGCGCTGCCGCTGCTCCGGTTGGCGTTGGCGTTGACGTCGGCATCGGCATCGGTGTTGGCATTGTTGTTGTTATTGCTGTTGCTGTTGTTGTTGTTGGCGGCGTTGTTTGACTGCGTCGTGCCCTTGGCACATAAACGGCGCGATCGGGACGTCGTTCACGTCGCGTTGCTGCTGCAGCAGCGCTAGCTTGTTGCTCTCTGCGAAACAGATGATCAAAACAGAAGCGACACAAAATCGAAAGGTGCGCGATTAACAAACACACACACACACAACAGAATTTCGTAAAAACAGTTAAACACAGTGCGAGCACCTTACAAAGAATTGCAAAACAGTAATGCAATAATCAATACAAATGACTTGAGAGACTTGATTATAAAAAAGGTTTGGAAACACAACATTGAAATATGAATATATAAAATTTATGTTTACTATGTGCACAGTTGCTTCGGCTGCTAGTTTTCTGTTTTATGATCAACATTTGTTGTCTACCTACCTTGGTGGCGATCTCTTGCGAGCGACTGAGGTAGTTGTCGATATTATTGCTGTTGTTGTTGTTGTTGTTGCTTCAGACTCTGCAAGGGTTTCGTTCGTTGCAGCTGGTGCTGATGCTTCCTCGCTGCTGTTGTGTCTGAGCGCGGGTGGCCTGTAGAGATCCACAGAGTTCGATTTACTTACTGAGTGGGAAAAAGAGCAAAGAGAAAGGAATACAAAAAATATTAGCAAATGTTAACAGGCATATATCAGGTGTAGCAACTCATTTGGCAAAGAGTATGTACAAACATACACACATTAAAAATCCACTTATGTTGACCCAATTTTACGTTGATTCGCTTTACGCGCTGCTTCGTGAATGTCAACACGGTTCGCTCAGACGAGGCGCAACAAGTGAGCTAGCGAGCGTGCGAGTGAGCGAGAGAGCAAGCATACAAGAGCTGAGAGCTGAGAGTGTGATGCAACCAAAAAGCAGCTCGCGAAAGAGGGCGACCTTGAATAAGCTGCGTGACCCGACAAACAAACGAACTGGCGCCCGTACGTTCACCGGCGTGTTTGGCTTTATTTTTAGTCGTTTGCGCATACACACATACATAATTAATAGGTTTTTGTTATATTTTATTTTATTTTTTATTGTCAGTTTGTCTTCGTTATTGCTTCGTCTACTTGCAAATATTTTTAAGCTTGCCAATTGTGCCAACTTCGGGCATGTTATATATGTGTGTACATATAAACAGTGGTATCCCGTCAATAATAATTAAATAATTCTCAAACAAATAATAATGAAATACCACAATAAAGGGCTGGATATTTTACAGCATTGCTGATTTGTTTCAGTTGTTAATTTTACTAAATATTATAAACAATTTAGTATACGGAATACCACTATTATCTTATCTTACTACTACTACTTACAAGGTGTTTCGCTGATATGCTTCTTTACGCCCATTTTACACAGTTCCGTTACGCGTTTTCTGCTGGCGCTGCTGCTTCTACCGTTGCTTCGCCAGCTCTTTACTGGTTGCTGTTGTTGTTGTTGCTGTTCCTGTTTACGGCTGTCAACAGCAGTTAGATTGTTAGTTTAAGCTTTATTAGTATGAGTAC